TCAGCAAAAACAGGAAAAGACTAAACTTTTACCACTGAGCCTGTGCAGCCATCAGAGCAGGAGCCAAACCAACCCCAAACTATCCAAATCTTTCATATGAAAACTGGGCATTTAAAATATTAAATTAGTCTTCTCTGACATCATGAACTGGTCTGACATCGAACTGGATGACTCGGACAAACATCTGCTGTGCTTCCTCCTGCAGCTCTACAGTCAGACAAAAAAGAAGCTGAAAAGACAACTACCATATTTTTTGTCAAATAAGTCACACCTTTTTGCATAAATTTGCAAGTCCTGCGACTTATACACCGAAGCAACTAATATACATTTTTTCCTCATATTTATAATCCAATTTTATAATAATAATAATTATTATTATTAATAGTAGTAGTAGTAGTAGTACTTTGTAGTAGTAGTACTTTGTAGTAGTAGTAGTAGTAGTATTTTTTTTTCAGTCAGATCATCTGGACAGTTTTTTTTTTTTTTTTTTGTGCTGAAACATTTTCCTCTCTACAAATTCTAAAATAACCTCAAATTTATATAAATATCCTTGCACATCCTCAATACCTCCCCATCCTCACACATTCAGCTAACATACTAAAAAATTGTAAATTTAATTCTCACTAATACATACACTCCCACAAAGCCTTTGACTTTTTTGGCTGAGATCTGACGATTTAATTAATTCTGACATGAAAAATGTCAAACACTACCATTTGCAGCCACTAGAGGGCCCTCGACTAATATGGCAAGCCAAGTGTCTCATTGATAGGTAAAAAGGGTGATTAATGAGACACATGGCTTGCCCTAGAGCCACCTACGTCTCACTTCGTTTGTCAAATCAGCTGCATTTTGCCGCGCTGCTGGCAAAAAGCAGCTGATTTGACCATTAAAGTGCATTTATTAAGGAAAAATTCAACTGAGACACACCTTTGCTATAATGTCGAGCAAACAAATAATTGCTTTTAAGTGTTAATCTTGTTAAATTATTGTTAAAGTCCTCCCGTGCACGCTCCCACGTCTGCCATTTGGTAACCAATTGATTTCTGGCACAACACCGGCCCACATTTCCGGGTTGTCAGCGATGACGCATAATAGATGTGACTTATAAGGCGGCAAATACGGTGAATCCTATTTGAGTTTAAATAAATGGACACACACGCTTGAACGTTCCTGCTGTGTGGGGTCAGTTTGACTAACGCAAAACATGAAAACGTTGATGGTTTTTGTAGGTTAAAGTGCAGCTGGAACATTTTAATGAACCTGTCAGTGAAGTTCTTGTAACCTTTTAGTTTTAAACAAAGTTTCAGTCCAATAAAATCACAAAACCGTGCCGTTAAATGCTCAGTTCAGCTGTTTTTTTTTTCTTTTCTGACAGAATGGTGACTCACTTTTAGCTGCCGGTGGAGCAGCCGTGACATTTATTGTTCAGGTGGAGGGAGAGAGACGAAGAGAAATTTAAAGTTGGACTGGTCGATCCATTGAATTCAGTCTCGTCCCATCTGCATCATCAGGATTTATGTTTTGTTGCCCTTTTCCTCCATGTTTGTGCTTAAAGACAACTCTTCATTTTGTGGGCGTGTGATCAAACTTTGTGTGTTCGCATACCCTGGATACCTGCTCGTCTCTCAGCTCTTTGTGCAAAAACGCTCCTCTGCGTTTACGCAGGCCCCCGCTGCATGTTTATATTGTGCAAATCATTTCCACTTTGCTGGCACTGCAAAAGCACTTCATGTGTGTCCAGTAAATCCAGACGCACGACGTGTGTTGCCGTCTGACTCGAGAGACATCAGTCATCGCCGGTCGTCTGGAGGAGAGGAGAACGGGTTGCCTGTGGTGTGGCAGCAGCTGCACACAAACATGGACTCACTAATCTGTGCAACAGATTGAACTGAAGACGGCTGAGGTGCATCTGAACTAAATAAAACAAGAATGCAGAAAAATTCACTTCACTGCTCTGTCCGTTTTCCATAATTAGTCTTTTATTGCTGTTTATAGTCATTTTACGGGACCACTTTACAATAAGGCTCCCCTTATAGATGCTAATAAACAGTTTATAGATATGCTATTAACTCCTCTATAAACACTTTATAAATCATTAATAACTGCTTCTTATGCATTAATTAAGGGCAAGAAAGAGCCAAAACTGACCAGTTTGTTGCCAACTATTGAGCCAAATCTGTTCACCTATATATTTCATCTAGAGTTGTTATATTAAACATTTCAAACTAAGTTACTACCTTGTAAGCACAATAAGCATTTGTACACCTAATGTTTTATTATATAATATTGTACTTTATCACTGCATAATAAGTATCTATTACTAATAGTATATCCTAAAAAAAATAGGTGTACAAATGCTTATTGTGCTTACAAGGTGGTAACTTAGTTTGAAATGTTTAATACAACAACTCTAGATTAAATATATAGGTGAACAGATTTGGCTCACTGTTGGCAACAAACTGGTCAGTTTTGTCTCTTTCTCGCCCTTAATTAACGCATAAGAAGCAGTTATTAATGATTTAAAAAGTGTTTATAGAGGAGTTAATAACGCATCTATTAACTATTTATTAGCCATCTTTAAGGGGAGCCTGTGGAGCCTTATTGTAAAGTGGTACACATTCTTCTGATGGATGAGAAGTGTCAAAATGTGACTTTTAGTAAGACTTCAGATCAAGATGTGGGTAGAACTCACAAAGATAACGGCAAGGTTAAGCTTTTATTGCGGAAAGTGTATTTTTATTCAACAAACCCCTCCACACACGTGTCTGTATAAAACAATATCTACATGAATAAAAAACTGATTGGACACATAATTTAATATCAGCTGAATTTGTTGTACCAAACAGCACAGAACATTTTGACCACACCAAATCTAATTGTGTTGCTTGTAGTGAAACTTAGTCGTTCTGAGGTGCCCGGCTGTTTCTGACTTCAGCTTAAAAAAACATCTGAACAGTTGAACATTAGTCAAATAAAAATATGCACCACACAGAGTTTGGACAGTGCCTCTATCCAAAAAAGTTCAATCTGGTCCTCTGGACATTGATGAGCATGCATCAGGACAGTGCCTCTAGTTTCTTGTGGCCAAAATATGAATTAAAAACTCACAAAGGACAACTGTTCAGCTTTTAATTTAGTTCAGTTAGACAGCAGTCTCTTAGATTTTGGTCTGCACAGCAGGGTGGTATTTAATGATCATTTGGGCATAAAAAAACGATATTTTAATGCAATATTAACCTCTTTTAGCCCCATGGTTCTCCTGTTGAACAGTCTGCTACTTTTCAAACAACTCTGACAAATTTAAAACCAGTTTATTCATTCATTCATTCATTTAGATTTAAATGTGCTGGCTTTTGGAAAGGTCAGATTTGACAAAGAAAAATGCATTGGGAATTAAATATAAAGCAAAAGTCAACTAAAACAATCAAAAACTTGGTATTATACAAAACCTTACCGCCTGATTTTAACTAAGAACGGTTCTTTCAGAAAGCGATTATGTAAATGTTTCAACCGACAATATTTCTTCAATTAAATGAAGAAATCCTAAATAATCCTGTCGTGAGGCGTGTTTGAGGAATCATCTTAGAGAAAAAAATGTTGATGAAAAAAATTCAAAACCATTTTGACCAGCAATAAAATTCTCAAGATATATATTTTTGAAACAGAAATAAATAAGTAAATGGTAAGTAAAGTAAGTTAAATGGTTTGAACAGTTCATTTCAACAAGCACAATGTGCAGAGAACTCAGTGTACTGGGACTTAACTGTGTTTTATGCAAAGAAAACCTCTGAACAAAGAGGCTAATTGAAAATAAGGCCTCACTTTGCTTTAGGGCAAAAGGATCAGACTGTGAAGCAATGAACAAGGACTCGTGGTCTAGTGAGTCCACGCTGACCGCACGGCTGATAAGAGATACTCCCATCATGCCTTGTACTACCCTGCTGGGGGAAATGGTGCATTCTGGGTTGATTCTGTTGTCCAGGTTTAGTACTTGTATGCTTGTATGTGCCGCAAAATGAAAATAAGATCATCTGATGCTGAATGACTGCTTTCCAAAAACAGTTCTTCTGGCGGTAAAATCATATCTCTAGATGACAATGTCTGTATTTATTGGGTTCATACTATAAAATGGTGTTTTAAGGAACATGAGTAATCATTTTCCCTTATAAAGTAGATTGACCACCAGATATATACATGATAATATTGAAATAGTACAGTATTTCAGCTCTGACAAAAATAAATATTATGACAGGAAAAATGTAATATGGCAAGTATGCTGTGTTCCATAAACTCAAGTGAACCAACAATGTTTTGAAGTACAGTATGTAACTTCTTGTGAGTTTTTCTTTGTTTTGAACAACAAATATGTCATATACAGTTTGCTTAATAATAATAACAACAATAATAATCATTCATTGTGTGTTTATCATAATGTTTGAATAATGTCCACAGAATAAAATAGCTTTAAACAATAAGGCACATTTTCTGTAGTCAGATTTAGAGATAAAATAATGAGTTTAAAATAGCTCAATCACCTCCTTTGATTTTACTGTTATTTAATATATAATTCTGACTTTTTTATGTGACTTAAAACGAAAAATACTTTCAGTATAACGTGATTTATAACTTGATTCGAGTTTATAAACCTCCCTAAGAGCGGCTTCTCTGTTTTTGTTCTTGTCTTTTGTCGCCCTCTGGTGGACACTATTTAAAAATGCAAGTCACCTCTGATTGGCCTATTTTGCGATGTGCTTGTTTCTGATTGGCTCGTTTGATGAACACCATCTTCAAAGATCTTCCGTACGGAAACAAGCGTCGCGCTAATGTTTCTTTAACATAAATACACTTTAAATGTTTTACTTGTAAAAATATTTTTACCTAAAAAAAATCTTATTTTAAATTATTTATAAATAGTGTTGTTCCTAATCGAAAAGTTGTAGTTAAGAAGTTCAGAAGTCCGTCATAAATTCCGAAGGATCGTGTTTCTGCTCGGAAGACTAAAGCTGTGGGAGTCCCTTCCAGCAAATTTGTTATGGGAGTTTTTTGCTGAGTGTTTCAAGGAAAATGAGTGGCTTTAAAACCTTTTTGAGCGTAAATTTTGTCTTCCTCGCGGTGCAATGGAGTCTGGTTTGTTGCGATATAACGGATGGAAACGCCGAACATCTGAAGAGAGAGCATTCGTTGATGAAACCTTATCAAGGTGATACGTTAACCGGATATATCCTGTCTGCTGTTTAGTTTCACCCATTTTTAGAAATCAACCAGTGGATTTTTACAGCGTCCTACTAACTATTACTGAAAAACAAGTTTTAAGTTTAATGTAGCTAACAGGTTAGTGGTATAAAAAGTAACTCAACAGCGCGTGTCACGCTAAGCTAAACAAAAACCGAAAAACTTAACATGGCTAATCTTAAATTTTGAATAAATAAAACTGGGCTCTTTTTTCGTGTGCAGGTTCAATGTGTAATGCTTCGATTCTGATTATAGATTAGAAGTTTCAGGCTTCTAAATCCAATATGTAATTATGTTTTATACTTTAAAAACAAAGCTACAGCACAGTTCTGTACAGCAAACATGAAAAATATTCGTGAAATAATATTAATGCATATATTTTAAATGCAGAGGATACAAAAGCATGTAGTGAGTGACGTCATTAAAAATGGAAACCTACAGATGACAAAATGTGTTAAACGCAGTTTGAGTTGAATACCATTGTTCTTGTTTAGAGTAAAGAACATTTAAACAGTTATAACTGCATCTAAATGGTAAATCAACTGTACTTTTCTAGCTCCTTTCTATCTTATCTTCATATTCAAGGCACTTTACAATCTGTGCCCTCATAAACAGAAATGGAGAAACAAAATATTCTAAAAATCAGAAGCATCAGCTGCAAAATCATGATCACCGCTACTTTTATAAGTTGAGATCTTCAAACATCCAAAAGTATCTTGTAGTCTGACCTCAGTATTTGTATTTTAAAAACTGCTTTGTATGATTGTGTTGTACAATACAATACACAGTCACATCCTGGGAGTTGTCACCTGACCAACGTGAAGTATTTTGATCACATGTGAATGTTTGTGTCATGGTAGCTCTGTTTGTTTATTTTGTCCAGTTTAACATGAAATACTTCATTCCCCTTTCTTCCAAACCGTCTGTCCTGTCTGTCCAAAGTGTCCGACTCCTCGAAGGACTGTCCTTTAGGTGGACTTCTTAACCTTGTCCCGAGGAGCTGCTGCTTCTTTGTTGAGTCATGTTTTTGTTTTTTGTTTTTTATGGCAATATATTAGACGATATTTTACAAAAAATACAATTTCTACATCGTATTAAAACTATTTTTGTTAATGCGGCTAAAAATGACAAAGGAACTGATACCACTTTTGTTAAACTGGTTGAGAAATTAAGGAGTTTTTGCAACTCTAGTGGGATGACAAGACAAATTTCTCCTATTTTAAGTCTTCAAAAACACTTTTGTGTTGCATCAAACATTCAACTTAAGCACAAACATGGAAAACTCACCCATCCCAGTGAACAGGAATTTAAAAAAACTAACATACAATAAATTGTCTTTAATCTTTTTTTTGTTTGTTTGTTAATCATTGTTCTTAACTTAGAGTAAAGAACATTTAAACAGTTATGATTGCAGCTAACATAATAAAGTTGGAATATTTTCCATGATTTAATAACAGATGAGACCGGCAGCACATTATTTAAAGAAACGCACAACGATTCTAATCAGTTCTACTTGTGTTTAAAGTGTGAGGATGGTATGCCAGCTTCCACATTTCACATGAAATCACTCGACATAGTCTCCGTTGTAAGGGTCATTAAAGCCTAAGCTCCTAAAGCCACCCTGGATATGTTGAGCCCGTTTGGTAGTGCACCTCTCAGCTGTGTCTGACGTGTGCTTTGACGTGTTTGTGTCGCAGGTGTTGGCAGTCAGTGGGACTTTGGGGGAAGCACACTGGTGACCAGCTCATACGTCCGACTCACTCCAGACGAAAGAAGCAAGGAGGGATCCATCTGGAACATTGTGGTGAGGAGAGTTTAGCACGGAGAGTGGGTGAACAACCAGAGAAAATTTGAATTTAAACTTATAGAACGCGGAGAAAACCAAAACGATTAGATCAAAATTCTTAAATTTGACATTTCCTAAACAAATGTGGGGATGTTGTGTCTAGATTTACATTTCTATTGATTAAACACTGAAGGACAAAACGTATGTGGCTTATCCATCATCCTAAATTGGTGAAAATGATATTTACTAATTAGTCTGTATTCAATAAATATTAATATTAAAAGCACATTTTGGTGTTTTTGATACTGACGTTTCCTTTGCATCCATGTTCTGACCCTGCAGCCTTGTTACCTGAAGGACTGGGAGATGCACGTGCAGTTTAAAGTTCACGGGTCGGGGAAGAAAAATCTCAATGGCGACGGCATTGCTATCTGGTACACAAGGGACAGGCTGCATCCAGGTACTTTGAGCCTCAGTAATGCTGAGGTCCTTCGTGGAAGAAATTCACTCTTCATTTCAGTTTGTCACTTTTTTGCATCGAGGTTTGGGTTTACTAAAAATACAGCAACGCTCCTTTTATAACTTGTAGCCGTTTTGTAGCATCACATTACGGTATGCACTCGTTTTTTTATCTTCAACAACAATCCTAGAATACTTTAGCTGATAGTAACTTCCATTTAAGGAGTTTGATAGTGATTAAAAAACACTTTAGACTGTAACTTAAAAGAAGAGAGTGTCTGACTCACTGACGAGTGTGGTTCTTGATGAATACCTCAGTTTATTTGTAAAGCACATTTCAAACACACGTTCATTTGTATTTAAAAGCTGCTAACTAACGGAACAAAAAGTAAACGTGTCGTTAAAGTAAAGGCCTGGCGTTGTTAGGATTTTATATCGCCCACAGTCATTCATGCACAAGTTTTAGGCTAAGATGATTTTATGATGAGAGATAAAGTTATAGTCATTTTGGTCAAACCTTGCAAATGATGTTTCGTGCAACTTCATTAAAGACCTTGCACGATGCGTCTGCTGCCAGAGTATGTGTCAAGCACGACTCTAAGCTACTACAACACCAAATTTTAGCTCTGTAAAATTGACTGAGCTAAAGTAATTTCTGTTTTGGCGACCATCTTGAATCCTGTTGACTCCAGAAGTTAACCAGATGTTGGACGTACATCCAGAGATAACTGAGCTTCCCTAAGGTTTGAACACTGCATCATAAATAAATAAAAAGGGTATTTGTTGGAAAAAAAGTTACTAAACAATAAATGCTAAACACTTCTGGAGCATTGGTGTAGACCCAAACCCGTCTGTCTGCTTGTCATGGACCACTTGTTCTCCCATCATGATTTCATCGTATCCAGATGTTTGTTTCCATTATCGCTGGGTCCTTTCATCACTGTTGACCACAGAACGTGCCTCTGGTTGTCTTCTCATGTCTCGCCTCATCTCTGCCTCCATCCTAGGCCCTGTGTTTGGAAACCAAGATCACTTTGTTGGCCTGGCTATATTTGTGGATACCTTCCGCAATGACCTCCATGAAATGGATGTAAGTGTCGTGTGTGTGACTCGAGCGGGGCATTGACCGGCTTGTTTCTTTGCAGGCCCTGTGTTTTCCAACACTGCTCACTTCCAGGGGCTGGCCGTTTTTATAGATACTTACTCTAACGATGAGGCGACAGATGTGAGTCGTTGTTTAGGTTTTTCTTGTGGGCGTGCTGTCTCAGTGTTACGTTGGAGTTCCTCTGTAAAGCAGCATGTCAGAGTCGGGAGCATGTGAATGTTTGAAAGACCTCTATTCATTTGTTGTAGTTTTGCATTTATTTTAAGTGTGCGACTGAAGAGTCGCCATTCAAACTATTATTTTTCTGCTTGCATTTGTTTTAGGACTGTAAAAAGTCAGCGTACTTTCAGCTATTTTAACTAATGATCAAAACGCTCAGCTCATTCTGGACATTACAGCTACAATCTTCACCTATTCACCTTTCCCATTTTATACTTTTTATATCCTAAACATACTGTATTTTCAGCCGTACACGTCTCACCGCCTTATAAGTCACATCAGTCCAAATATGTCTAATAAAGTACAAAAAATCCATAAATAAGTCGCATCTGTTACGCGTCACCGCTGACAACTCAGAAACATGGATCGGAGTTGTCCCAAAAATAGATTGGCTGCCAAATGGCAGCTGCGGGAGCGTGCATGGGAAGACTTTAACAAGAATTTAACAAGACTAACACTTAAAAACAATCTTTTGTTTGCTCAAGATTATAGTAAAGGCTTTGTCTCAGTTTAACTTTTCCTTAAAAAATGCACTTCAGTGGTCAAATTAGCTTCATTTCGCCGGTGCAGCGCAGTGAAATGAAGCTGATTTATGGCAAGCCGATTGTGCTATTAATAGCCACTTTTACCTATTACATGATACAACGGCATGCCATACTACTTGAGCGTCATCTAGTGGCTGAAAATGGTAGTGTTCAATATTTTCTATGTCGGAATGAATGAAAATGGTCATAACTCGGCCAAAAGTTGTTTATAAATATGGAAAAAAAACATAAATACGTTGCTTCGGCATATAAGTTGCAGGGCAGGTAAATTATGAAAAAAAAAAGTGACTTATAGGGTGACAAATACAGTATATTTTATCTCATTGACATGAATTTTAGCTACAGTTTTGGCTTTTTTATTTATTTTTTCTTCTTCTTCTGATTGTTTGAACTTTTATCAGTTTCAGTTGAGTTTTTTTTATTTTCTTTAGCAAGTTTCAGCAAAGTCGTTCTGCTCCCAGTATTCAAACTGCTTTTCTTTTTTTTATCAGAAATTAAAACGTTCCAGTCAAAAAGTGACATTTACATTTCATTTGTTTTGAATTTACGAAAATACTTTTCTTGTACGGTTGACAATTTTGTGCTGCAGTGAAAAGAAAATGAATTTTTATTGTAATTCCAAATTCTGGACCACGTTTTTATATGATACTATAATTTCTCTGAAGCCAGTAATTAATTTCACTCCGTGTTGTCAGTGCTCCTCTGCATGTCTGTGTCTAAATAAACACCAGTGATCCTGTGGAGTAAACGGATGCTTTCAGGTGTTTTATCCACGCACGTCTTGTTTTCTATTCATTTGTTCCTCATTAACTGTGAAGTGCTTTTTAAAGATTATTTCGTTGCTTAATGTTTGTCTCGCCAGCGCTCCTTCCCTTACATTTCTGCCATGGTGAACAACGGCTCTGTGAGCTACGATCACGGGAAAGACGGTCGCTCTTCGGAGCTGGGGGGCTGCTCGGTTGACATCCGAAACAGAATCCATGACACGTACCTCGCCATTCGCTACTCCAGAGGAAGACTGACCGTAAGGAGTGACATCTCGCTTCGTTTTGTTGTTTAGTTTGATGAAATCTTGAAATGACAAGAGGGAATAAACAGAGAGGCGAAGGATATGTGCCGCGTTTAATTTGTACACAGAAGTCTGAATTTCAGCGTTCCAAGTGGGAAAATTCAACGGGAAACTCCCACAATGTCGGGATTCCAACGCAGTCATAGATTCCTGACCAGCCTCGACCTCAAAACTAACATGGTTGACTTTTACGTGTAAAGCTGCAGAAATAAACTTTATATTTTAACTTTTGTCAGTTTGCATTTCAGTAATTAGTTGCACGTAAAACTGTCCAATCACTATTGGTGATATTGACAGCTATTTGTTTGATTGCACAAAATGCTAATAAATTCATGCTAGTGGTAGTTAGCCTGGTCACTGACGTCAATCAATGGTTAATCCTGCTGGTGTTTTAGTAATCATCTGATCTTTGACCTTGCTGAGCCCTCTTTACAACGCTGCTTTCATTTTTTAATTTTCATTCATCTCGAAGTCCCACAACAGTATTTTAGTAAGGTCTGCAGCCCGAATCATTAGCTGTGTTTGACAGCTGGTGTGGAGGAGTTTGTGCTGGTTTTGTCTAGAAGTCGGTTCCAGCTGTGCAGCATTTTCTATCTCAACGGGTTTTAGTTTGGAACCGACTGGGCGTGGTAAAGTGATGTGTTGTAGCTCCTCACCTCCAGTTTGTACGGCAGGTGATGGTCGACGTTGATGACAAGAACGAGTGGAAGGAGTGCATCGACATCGGAGGGGTTCGTCTTCCTACCGGATATTTTTTCGGTGCGTCTGCAGCAACAGGAGATCTTTCAGGTAGGTCACAACTGAAAACACAAGAATCGGGATGTTTCATGTCAGCAACTCCTGAAATAAAGAAAACTGATGCCGTTGTAACGACGTCCTTCTTAACTTTGAGCGTGTATACATTTATTTAGTCATGTTTCAATATTTTACTTTGAAATGCCATTTTTTTAATCACTTTGTTCCAGATAACCATGACATCATCTCAATGAAGCTTTACCAGCTGATGGTGGAACACACCCCCGAGGAGGAGAACCTGGACTGGACCAAAATTGAGCCCAGTGTCAGCCTGCTCAAGTCCCCGAAAGGTACAATAAAATTCCAGGAGACTTGTTCTCTTTCATGTAAATGCAAATCTACAGGATAAAACAAAAAACAGAAGTTTCTGTAACGTAAACATAAAAATGAACCATCGCTCTTTGTTGTCTCCCGTTGTGGAGCGAAGAGGGGTAATTGGAAATAACCTTCATCCATCCATGCATGTTCTTAGCATGATAACTTGAAAAATAAGTGCGGTATCAACCTCCGTTTTGGTGCGTAGCTGCATCTATGTATACGAAAGGTCATTGTTAATAATCGGGTCAAAATCCAAGATGGTTGCCACCATGTTTATTTGTAAACTGACCACCGCTAATTGAGTAAATTGTGCTTTTCACATGTAATATTGCTAAAACATTTTGTTCTTAAATGACTGGATCAAAACTAAGCAACGCGCCGACACTCCTCAGTGTGTGGCTGCGTCTTGGCCTGAGAAAGATCAGTCAAAAATTGGGTCGCCACGTCACATTCCAAGATGGCCACCACTGTGGGCGTGTGTAACTCAAGGTTCTTTGTCATTCGCATCACTTGGTACACGAGGTGGAATGAAATTGTGTACTCAAGGTCCCAGTTACACCCAAAAATAGCAAAAATATTAAGTATAAAAGAAAAGGTATATAAGGATCTAAAATATATGCTAAACACTAATAATGTCAAATAATACGGTGTATTAAACAGCAGCCCGAACATGAGTCTGCAGTGAGCAGATGGGTATGAATACAGCAGCTTAAAGGCAAGAAATCAGCAGCACAGATAAGTCGCATATCACCAATTTAGTTACAACTCCATCTCCTACTAATGTGAATATTTTGTAATACAAACATTAAGGTTTACCTGCGTTCCCTGTTCAAGTCCAGAAAAACACTCATCTTAAAAACTACAGACCCCCTCAGTGACGGGGGACATCGGCGTCCCGCCTGCTCTTTCCAGTAGAGCCATCTCGGTGTTTCCCGGAGACGTGTGGAGACGCATCTGTGTTGCGCACTTAAACTTTATATACTTTTATAGCTTCTTAGCTAGCATGTCTGTATTGTGCAGCACTAGCTTAGCGCTACGTCAGTGCAAACACTGCATCTAATAAAACAATTTATGTCCATGATAGAATCAATATGCGAGCAATTTAAATAAATTTAAACAGGTTCAATAAAGTTAATTAACATTTTTGAAGCGGCATGCTGTCATGACTGAGCGTTGACGAGATTCATTCATTCAACATTTATTTAGACGAGTTAATCCCATTGACCCTCGAGGACTCGTTTACAAGAGAGACCTGATTTCAACTAAGAATGATGACGACAATGGACAATCATAAAAGAGGCATACAGATTTTTTTGATTTTTTTAACAAATTAAAATTAGATGGCAAAAAAAAAAAAAAAGTAACAAAAACGGCTGGATTCTAAGGCGAATGTAGAAAACTGAAAACGGGAACATGTCTGCGTTGGTCCCTGCCAGGAGTCCAACAGATTCTTGAAGCCACTTAGAGAGGTCAAGGTCGAGAGCTTCAGATCTTTTTGTAAGATGAAACGGGAGCGGAGTAGGAGAAGGCCCTTTTGCCTAGTTCAGTTCGCACTGAGAGGACACTGCAGGTAATAATGTCCTGAGAGCGCACGCCGTAGCTGCACTCACGCAGAGACATGTAGGAGGAGATGTATGAAGGCAGCAGACCAAGAAGTGATTTAAAGATGAAAATGTACCAGTGGGAGAGTGGGACGAGATGATTCATGTCCGCACTTCCTCTGCAGACAACATCGACGATCCGACGGGGAACTTCCGTGGCACGCCCCTCACGGGATGGAAGGTCTTCCTGCTCCTGCTGTGCGCGCTGCTGGGCATCGTCGTGTGCGCCGTGGTGGGGGCGGTGGTGTTCCAGAAGAGGCAGGAGAGGAACAAGAGGTTCTACTGAGACGGTGGGAGGAACTGTTCTACAGAACAGAGCGATGTGAACTTTTTCTGCTGACGATTGTACAAATGTTTAGAGCTTCTGAAGCGCTGCGTTCCCTGTGGGTTCTGGTGACTTGTGATGAGAGCGTGTGGGTTGGAGGTGACGTCATACCGATTGTGTGTTTTTTTTATGTTTCGGGGGTTGAAATAGACAAACCTGGAAGTCGGTTCTTTAACGAGCGTTTGCACCAGCTTGTTGTCTCCTGTCCCGTTTGAGTCTGCAGATCATGATTTTAGATTCTCATTCCTGTCGTCACTGAACAAAAAGGGAATCTGTGCTCGAACCGTGAGAACAGAGAAACGACTCGCCGATGTTCCGCCGCAGCCATCGTCCAAACGAAGCTGGTTTTAGTCTCCTGCGAGTCCGTGAGAGGACAGACCTGCGTGTGCTGATTTCAGTTTGTGTACTTCTGTTGTTTCCTTCTAAAATTTAAATTTACCTTTTATGTTTGTGAAAGAACAAACTGGGAGCCCAATTATGAAAACAAGTGTTTTTCTTTGTGTGTGCACCACTCAGTGCTCCTGGTGGTTTATTTTGGTGAACAAGAATGTTGAGATGCCGTGCAATTTTTTTTTTGTCTTTTACTTTTTCTTTTTTTTTTGGACAAGGTCTCTTTTATTTTATTTTTATTTTTTACTTTTCTGCTAACTTTAGTAAAACGTAAATGTTTCTTTGTTTAAATATTCTTAAAAGACAACCACGTACAAGGCTGCAATTCAGATTTTGGTTCCTGAATATTAATTGTCTGAAAAATACAAACAAAAACAGCTTAAATGGATAAACTGGGGATTTGGTTTAAAGCATAAGGAGCGTAAAAACAGATAAATATAACATTTAACAAGTTTGAAGTAGAAAATTGTTAGAAATAAAGATTTCTAGGTAAAGCCAATTGAGAACAAATCTTCAGTTTATTAGAATTGATTGATTAATCTAAATATTTCAAACTTATAAAAAAGAAAGTTGTAAAAATGGTTGTGTTTTTCGGACTATAAGGCGCACTTAAAATCCTTTTAATTTTCTCAAAAATCGACATCATCGGGTGCGACTCATGTATTAATTCTGGTTGTGCTTACTGACCTCGAACCGATTTTATGAGTTTATTGTGAATGAGCAAAGTTTGACTTATGACTGTTCCGCTTAATGCGCCTTATGATCACCTTATTTATGAAAACAGACCTGTTCATTGATTTTGCGCCTTACAGTCCAAAAAAATATGGTACATGTGGTATTCGAATTAATTCTGTGGTTCTCCATTTAGTTGATCTTAAGTTGCATCAGAATTTGGTTTGGATTCCAACTTGAAGCTAATTCTTCTCTACCGGCGCAAAGAAATGCTGAATCTTTCACGGAGTCTTAAATTATGATGATGGAGACGACTTTTAATACCAAACAGAAAATGTATTCAGATCCGTCGTGATCATATTAAATACAGACGATACTGGATCCAAACCGTTCTCATCAGTTTTGATTCGAAACGTGAGGAACTTTTGTGAACGAACAGTTTAAAATTGAAAATAAAAACTCACTTTGGTTAAGTTGTAATATTAAACAAATTTAAAAAATCGTATTTTTACATTTTCTGAGCAAATTCCCTCTGATCTAACTGTACCTCGTGCTCAATTCTTATTTGCAAATTCCTTGGTATAAAGTTTAAATGTTTACATTTTGGTTCAACTTTACAGAATAAAGGTAATCGGTTGGTGTTAAATATGAAGCTCATCATAGATGCAGGCACAAATGATTTAAACGGACCTTTATACCAGCTTAGGCACTGATTTTTATTTTATTTCTTTAATTTTTGATTTCAACAGTTTCTCTTGTGTTTGTCAGCAACCTCCAACTAAAGCCATCAGATGTGAAAACAGGACTTTGTCTCGTTTATCAGATCGTATACGCAGGACTTCATAAAGTCTTTATTTTATTTGGATTTTTTGAAGCTTTGTCTCGACGCTCCTGAGGTCTGTTTTTTTCTACATCAACAAAGTTTCGTTTGTGAGACTTGAAGCAGCTCCTGACTTCAGAAACAATGGATTAAAAATGTTTGAACAAACGCCTGTTTCGTTATTTTATTTTAACCACAAACTCCGTAAAGTTCCCAATGTGCTGAAGTGATGACCGGGATGTGAGGGAAGCTTTAAAGGCTCAAATCTGGACCTTTTTAATCAAATAATATAAAAATAATACATTTTTTTTAGCTGTGAACTCATGTTTACCTGAAACAATCCATATAGTCGTGTAGTTTTGCTGATTGTCTGCAGAGATGCAAAAATATCCCATTTTTCCTGAACGCAACACTTGTCAGTGACTTCAGGTGTGGTTCAGGGGGCTACATACAAATATTAATATGTATACTATTTCTTAATGGCACATTAACATATAACACGTATATTATCGATGTCTTAGAAAGAAGTTGAACGTCGGCACATGGAGCTTTTATTGTTCCGTTGAACAATCCGTGCGTCACTCTTTCTTTAAACGTTGCCGCCATTGTTGATCCATATTTCTACTTAATGGTTCTTAACCCAGAAACATTGTACAATTGTTAATTTATATTAATTCAGTGGTTCAGAAAATTGTTTTCCTCACGCTGAAAAGTCCTCAGCAGCACGGTGGATCAGTTGGTGGAGCTGTTGCCTCAGTGAGATGGTTGCCTGTTCAATTCCTTGCCTGGGGGCCTTTCTGGGTGTAGTTTGCATGTTCTCGGTGCATGCGTGGGTTTTCTCCGGGTACTCCGGTTTCCTCCCACAGACCAAAAACATGCGTGTTAGGCTGATTGGTGACTCTAAATTGTCTCTAGGTGTGAGTGAGAGAGTGAATGGTCGTTTGTCTCTGTGTCCCTGTGATGGACTTGAGACCTGTCCAGGGTGTCCCCAGCCTTTTCCACAGTGACCCCCCCATGACCTGAAAAGGATGAAGCGGGTAAAGACAATGGATGGATGAAACATCTATGCCGGACACGACAGATGCTTGCCAGGTGTTTACTCTGATCGTGCATCGTTCACTGCCACATGCGGTGACTGTCAATCAACTGGGGGTGGCCAATCAAGTATCCTGCCCCCACCTCTGACTACACTTATCATTTGCATTATTTATTTGAGCATCCATAACAGAGTGACACTTTGAAAGAAAGAAACCATCCCTAAATGTATCATCAGACAGATTTTATTTTTACCTTTTATTTAACGAGTTATAAACACTAGGAACAAATTCCTAATGACGGTGCTGGCCCGGCGGCACCGACCGGTACTTGTAGGGAAACGATACATTTAGACAAAACTATAAAATACAGTAGTCAATAACAAACAAGGAATCACAAATTCATCAACAACAGTTCGTCAAAGTTAAACGATAGAGAGTACTAAGTATGAAAATATTTGCAAGTATCTTTAAACACGGCTTTTAAGCAATTTTTAAAACTAGATGCGGAGACAAGTGAGGTCAGAACAAAGTTTTGTTTTTTTAAGCAGATTATTCCAGTCAGATGAGCAGCAGAGGTAATGTGAGAGTTCTGATTTTTTTTTTTTTAATCTTTAAACCACAAGATGGGGATGTTGTTCTGTTTTTAATCATCTGCAAGCCCAGCACAGCCTATATTGTTAAAGCTTTTTTTTTTATTATTCTAAAACTGTCTTATCTTTATTCCATACAATAGTTTTACTTAAAATGTGATCAGGTATTTTACGAGCCATTTAAAAATATAAATGCAGATTTTCAGTTCGTGTAATTTTCTCCACCCAGATGTTCTCATGACCCCTGGCTTACACGGATCATGTGTGCATCTGCTCTCCGTCAGCATCCTTCACTGCGTTCACGATTCTAAAGGTGTATTGAGGCACTCGATTGAATTTTCATAACAGCTCAGCAGTGTGTTGTGGCAGCTCACCGGCCCAGCGCGCTGACTGTTAATCCGGCTCATTCCAGTGACGGAAAAGATATTCTGCTGTTTGTGTGTCTGAGCATAAGAGCGATGGAGGAAGCGGTTTGAAAAGCTGAAGATTTATGCTTTTCCTCTTCCATAGCTGGAAGCTGAAGTCTCGAAGCCTGACTGATTGAGCGGGCTTTAGCCTCGGGTCGATGGCTTAAACTTCCCCACCTGAGGCTCAACGACATTTATTCAGCAGCACTTTACATCTGACTGACACTCAAACATAACCGTTTGTATTTATCTTTCCAAATACATTTTTTTCTATACAGTAGATTTCAATAATTTGTTAAGCAGAAGCCGCAACAGTCAATTTAGTTTTTAAAACTTTAAATACCCACTAAGTCGTATAACTGGTAACTGCAGTTGAGGGCCGCACAAAATCACTCCAAGGGCCGCAAATGACCCTCGAGCCACACCCCTGCTTTAGTTGCTTTATTAGCCGAATCATTTGTGATTTGTTTGTTGAATAAAACAGTTACCACATGGACCAATTTTTGAAAGTTTCAAACTTTAATATTTTCTCTTTGTTTTTTGAGTTTTAAAATCATCCCTGGAATCTCACATTGTTTGCACAAACCGTTTATTTCTTACAATTTCCAAGCATTTCGTTCCTTCGGTGTTCTTTACATAACCAGCGAGGTTCTGACGAAGCTGCTGGAGATGAAGATTCAATTAGGAGAAGCTGTGAAGCGTCTTTGCGGCCCTAAAGTCCCAGAGGAAACGAGCGGCTCACAACGGTAAGTGGTACTTGCTGTGCTCTCAGCTCGGTGCCCCGCGATGCTCTCGAACGAAAGCGTTCATTTTTGTCATTGAAGGCGAACGAGAAAAAAAAAAAAAAAACGCTCTTTGGTAATAAAAGCTTTCGGTGAGAGTCGACTTGAAACGCAAAGTTTTGACGGGGCCCAGCTGTGACTCGGCTCACATTTAAAATCTGTTGGAAAGCAGAGCGATGTAATGTGCACGGTCTAACTGAAGAACTCCGCTCGTCAATGGACTTTAAATTAGCTCCTGGAAATCACGCAGGACGCGTCTAAAGAAAGGAATCATAAATACGGAGCCTTGAAAATATATTCGTCTACCTTGAACTTTTTCGTGGTTTGTGAAATTATAAGCACAACCTTGTAAGTATTTTATGCAATAAACCAACACTAAGTAATGCATAATAGAGAAGTTGAAGGTAAAGGACACAAGGTTTTCTTTTTAAAGGATAATTATAGTAAACGTTTGAAATGTGTGGCATGCATTCAGCCACCATGACCTGATGTTTTATAGGACCACCTTTTGCTGCAGCTGTAAGATGTTTGGGATTTGTCTTTACTGACAGGATCTGTGTGTTTTGTGATGCTTGTGTCATTCAACTGCTTCGAATGTTATCAGCCATTAAATGGTCGTTATTAGTTATCCCCATAGGCTGTGTTCAGACTGTCACTCCTGTACCTCCTAGTAGGTTTAAAGG